GAGGAGATGCTGTTTCGCTATGACTCTCTGGATTTCTTTGGAATAAAGGCATAGTGAGATGATATCTGCTAAAGGTAGCCACACTGGATGCACCAGACCTCGTACCACCACTTCCTCCTGGATGGGGAGGATGCTGGAGTAAGTGTTTCTTTAGTGCTCCGAGAACCAGAATATGAGTGTCTGCAAGAGGAGACAGGAAGCAATTTGGTAGGGAAGGGGAACTCTGATCAGTGATAAGAGCTGACAACACACACGCACACACGCACGCACACACATGCACACATATGTGATGGTCACATGTCTTACTTCCATCCTTCTTCTCACTATCTCCTGGCCTCTAACTTTCCCAACTAGGCAGATACGATTTTCTCTATCTGCCTTTGCTAATTGCTAAGAAGGAGTCAGGGTCTCTAAGATTGTTTCTATTCCCTTCTAACTTGGTGCTTTGTACATCCCCAAACCTACTGACACGTTTCAGACAACAGGCTAATTGCTCTGCCTGTGTTCTTAACCTCTGATGTTTTTGCAGCTTCTTTTTCTACCTGTCATGGCTTTCTCTTCTATCTCGAGACTGCTCTCTCAGCAACATAGCTGTTCCAAGCCTGGAGTTAGGTTTGGATATTCAGCTGTTTCAGGAGTCCCTGGTCTTAAAGTAGGAAAATTGCTTAACTTCTCAGAATCAGCTTCTCCATCTCCAAAAGGTCAACAAGAAATATCTTGATACTGCCTGGACTTTGAGGCCAGAGTGTGTGCTGTTTCCTAGCTTTATGCCCATTAAAAATACTTCTCTGCGCCTCTTTGCTTACCTGCAAAATGGGTGGAAAATATATATATATATTTGCCTCATAAGAATTGTGAATGTCAGATGAAATAACACAATTAGCCTGGCATATGTTGCTTGCCAGTTACTGCTTGGCACATGGTAGGTTCTTAATACAATTTTAAATATAATCTTTCAGGGTGATTCCTAACTTAACTGGGAAAACATATATAAAAAGCACTAAAATAGCACATATAAAATGTGTTGTGGTTTTTGCACGTAAAACCTTTCCAGTTTATCTGCCATCTTAAAGAATAATCTGGACCCTGGTCTCTACTCACCACTCCCTGTTCTCCTTGTTTCCCATGTAAAATGTACATCACACATGTCACCTCCATCCCCCTCTTCTATCTGTCTCTCAGTTCAGTGCACTCTGTTGTAGCCCTCCTTTCTGCTCAAAACCACAGAAGTGTCTTGTTAACACTGCTGAAGCTTATTGCATGAACCCAGTGGCAGCATCTCAATTATTTCCCCGGACTAACCTAACTCCAGCTGTTTTGTTTAATTGAAAGATTCCTCATCAGCAATCACTAGGGAAATGAAAACCAGAACCACACTGAGACCTGAGAGATGGCTCAGCAAGTAAAAATGGTTTGCTACACAAGCCTGGTGATCTGAATCTGTGATCTCTGGAAACCCTGTGAAGGGATGGGTGTGGTGACGCACATCTGTGATCTTAGTTCCCTACTGGGAGACGGGAGGCAGAGCAGAGAGATTCTGGAGCACAGTGCACAGCAGCAGAAACAGTCAGAAGAGGCCCTACCTCACAAAGTGGGAGGAGAAGTCTGATCCTGAAAGTCGTTTTGATTTCTACAAATGCATTATACATATACACTATAGTATGCATACTGCACATGCACATGAACATAGTCATGCACATGCATGCACATGCGTGGATGTGTATACACTAAACCACATCACCACATTGAGACACTGTCTCACCCTATAGATAATAGAATGGCTACTATCAAAAAGACAAAAGTTGACAAATGCTGGGAAGGAAATAGAGAACTTTTATGCACTATAGAGATGTAAGTTAGTGCAGCTACGAAGAAAGTGCTATGGCGTTTCTCAGGAACAAGGGAACCAGCAAACACTGTGGCTCTTGTCACTGAATGCACTGTCCATGTCTCAAGCCCCCGTGTTTCTGGTGGCTCTCAGGTCATCATGTCCCACTAACTCTTCTCCTTGTGCAGATGGTGTTTGCTCAGTGTTTCATACCGTCTGTTCTACCTCTTTTTCCCGTGCCACTTTGCAACTCCTTAACTTATAGCGATATACCAATGGCTCTGTATTTATATGTTCAGCTTAGTCCCCTCCCACATTTCTGCTTTCTAGATAGTTGAATACAATGGCTGACGAGATATCTCACAGAATACAACACTTCAAGCATCATCAATGCCAAAGGAACCTCTACCCCTTGTATCTTCCCGATTTTACTAAGGGGTACTTATTTTCCCCAGGTAGAATCCCAGCAGCTGCTGCAGTCCCTCTCTTATTCACTCCTCCCATCCTTATCAATGATTAAACCTAGAAAGCTGACTTTCCAAGTATGTCCTTCTCACAGTCCTCTGCCTCCTCAATCGCTACCCATCTAAACAGGTCTTTTGTACTATTGCAACAGATTCTCTGCTCTTTGGCTGCAGCAGACCCAAAGTCACTCCTTGGTTTCCTTGATGGTTCAAGCTGTCTCATGACTCTGAGTCCTTGGAGATTTCTATCTGCCTGGAATGTTCCTTTTCCATTTGTCTGACAAATAACCTTAAATTTCTCTGTATAGCCTTCACAAAAATACCCATCAAATTTAACTGATACTTCCAATGCTACCCATGTGCTTCGTATATACTTTCTTGATAGAAATATCCAGTTTTATCATAATCATTAACTTTATTGTAATTGTTCATTTGGCCACTCATTCCCCTGTTACTCTGAACATTTGGAAGGGTGGCTACACACTTTTGTTTTTTGTTACTGCCTGCCAGGCACAGCAGAATGTTTGTGACTGGCACAATGTCCTGCAAATATTTCAAATGCGACATTCTGGACGTGTGAACGAATTAATTAGTTGATGAAGTCTTTTCTCTCTTTTGTTTTGTGAATGTGAGAAGAAACCACTTTCACCATCTTTTGTGACAAATATTTGATGCTTAATCATATCTTGATAATCAGTCTGCACCTATCATTTACGTTATTCTCCTCCCAAGCCTTAGTTGTCTGTTCAAATGACAAGTTCACTCTTTCCCCCCTCTGAGGCCATTTCCGTTGTTCCATGAAAAGCTGTCATTTGGTTAAGTCACAGCATTGATAGGAATGCTTCCTGAATGCACTGTGCAAGTTCTTAAAATGAAGTTTCCTTTTATACGACATGTAGTTTAAAGGATTAACTAAGATAAAAATGGAACCATTCCAATTTATGTTTTGAAAAATTATTTATTCACAGTCATACTTGATAAATCTCAAAACATTGATCTCTGATATGATATAGTCACGTAACTTTTGAGCATTTATCCAGAAGATTTGATCTCAGGGTCTCAGGGAGGCCCTCTCAGCACTCGTTATTTGTGTATTATGCACAACAGTCGAGACATGGAAACAAAACTCATGTTTACGCACATGAAAAGAGAAAGAGAATGTGGCATTTGTGAACAATGGGATTCTGTTGGGAATTTAAAAGAAGCAAAATTTTTACTATGCACTGATGTGGATGAATCATAAGGGAATTATGTTAAATGAAATAAGACAGTCACAGAAAGACAAATGCTGCATAATTACTTTTAGAACGAGTTATTTAAAATAATTGAGACAGAAGAGATGGTAGCTGTCAAGATTCAAGGGACTGGGCAGTCACTAGCCAACAGGCTAAAGTTTGAGTCAAGTATGATGACTGGGTGTGAGAGACCTGCTGTTTGTACAATTTACATCAATGTGTTGCACACTTAGGAATTCAGTGTATGGACATATTTCATGTTGTGTGTTACTACTGGAATCCACTCCAATACTGTGCGCTTCAATGTTTAGTGAATATTTAAGGGAAAATCTTCATATAGTTAATATATAGTGATCTTTTCTAGTTTCTGCTGACTGGTTAGATACAAGGGAATCTTCTTTGTATCATGAGAAATTCTTTCTAGCTCTGTTCTTTAAAAAAACATTGGGAGAAAAATGAACAGAATGTACTTTCATTCATGTATACGTATATGTATATGTATATGTATATGTATATGTATATGTATGTATTCAGTAATAAGCTACAAGCTTTATATAATGAAATTCCTTGATGTTTCAAAAAATATAGTAGTTTAGACTTAGAAATACAAACTCTTTGTTACCGGGACTACCTGCTCAGTTACTTAGCAAAAGGATGGGACAGGTAATAACAACAAAACAGCTATCTGGAAGATGTCATTGAAATAACTTTAATCATCTTTTCCATTGTCATTTAAAATACACTGCCATGCATTAAATGGGTATTTTAAAATGTCATGTTATAGCCTCACTTGTCACAAAGATGACTATATCAATTACCTTAGCAGCCAGGCAGAATTTATTTTGTACAAATCTTACACAACTGTCACCAGTCAGCATTACATAATTGAAGACACGTGATATGGTTAACTGTTAAACTTTACTATTTATTACTCTAGTAATGACCTAGTTCTGATAAAAAACATTTATTAACTTAAAATAATTGAGAATAAATCAAAGACAGGTTTTATTTGTCTGATTACAACTGTTAGTGAATAAATTAGTTTTGACAATATAAACTCTCCACAAGGCACATACCACCATAAGCAGGACTAGAACACACCCAATTATTCATATGTCTTAGCTTCTTAGAAGTACTATCAAACAGTGACTAACACAAAATCCTATTTTATATATACATTTTATTTTACTTGGAAACTATTACCGGTGAAATTAGACTGCAGTTCATCTTTTGATAAAACAGCTGGACTTAAATTACATTTCTTTAGCAATTTAGAGACAATTCCTATATGCAAACTTTTTTTCTTTCAGTTCCTCAACATTAGGGACATTTCTAAAATTAGAAAAGGACTTGCTTTCGCCACCACAAAAGAATTAGAATAAAGTTTAGAGTTTCCTGGATCCAGACATATTTGTATATGTGTATAGACACACACACACACACACACCACGATCACATGAACAGTTAGTCAAGATGGGCCGTTGCATTGCAGTAAGCCAACTCAAACAATAACACTATGATGGGCGTGGGGATGAGGTCCACATGGTCTTTGCTTCCTGCATTTTCCATAGCAGCAACAGAATCTACTGGTGGTGAGGCATTCTTACATTCCTCCAATGACAAGAGTAAGCTGCTTTGCACCATAAATCATGCTGTTCCTTTTTTTTTTTTAAAAAAAAACATGTTGCCATGGTGGGAGTAGAGTTGGAGAAACTGTATGGATATTGTAAGCTAGGTTTGGCCAAAGGAGTCTATTTTTATAGAAAACAAATCTTCATTAAAGCCGAGAGAATGTGATTGATAGAAGCTGCTATCTGGATTCTTGTTTCAAATGTTAGATGTCGGGACAGACAACCACATAGATGACCATTTTTGCCAGTATAAAGACTTCCACCCTTATTTTTAATCTCAGGTATGAGACTACTTTTCTTACCATGAAAAAAGATCGTGAAAACCGACCAACCTTATTTTCTTACTACTTAGGACTTTGATAATCTGATATGAATCAGAGTTTTATAAAAACAATCCAGAAATGCTCAGGGATTTTGTGTAGAACTTTAAGAAGTTGTGAAACCATGATGTCCACCTGTGAATGCTTACAGTTCCTTAGTGGAGATGTTTTCTGAAAATGACTACAGGAGCAGGTGCATACCTCATTACTCAACCTTCCTTCCACTGTGGCTAGACTGTACAGTAGGTTTTCAATTACTTTGGGAATGAGTGGCTACGTGGTTCTGGACTGTTCTCATCCACACAGATTCTATTGCACAACTGAGAAAATTTTCCAGACCTTTGCTGCTCTAGAATCTTCCATTTCTGGAGCTTTGATATCCTCCAACAATGGCATACTGTCTGTGTTCAGGACAGGAGGCTTCTCGGGTGACTGAGAGAGCTGGTCTGGGCCCTCTATTTCTTCCTATGTAAGGGACAACCTCAACTTAAGTACAATGAGAAAGTCCTAAATGAGGCCACTGCTGTTAAAGTGACCCTGCTTTGGCCACTTGTCTTCACGAGAGTGAAAGGTAGACGTCAAACGTGACACTCTTGAAGTCGGCAGTGGGTCTCTGGAATGAGATCAAGACGCTGCGTGCCGAGTCACAGGTTCACATCCTTTATCTTGATAGGGAATCAATGCAGGAAGTAGCTTCAGATTTGTCTGTGTTCCAGCTTTAGAACCTCCAGGGTGAGGAGACAGGTGTGTGTGTGTGTGTGTTGTGTTAGGGAACAATTTGCAGAGAAGGAGCCCCCTAAGTTGTGAGTCTTTCCATGTTCAGAGAGCTGTCTTTAAGTACACTTTCCTGCATTGATTTATGACTCTTGCCCTAGGTTCAGATCCTCAGCAGTATCTCAGAGGCTAACCTGACGTGCATTGACAGTGCAGCCACGCCAAGTCACGCAGGTAGTATGTGTCACTGATAAGTCATCAGTGCAATATCCACCTACTGTGAGAATGTCCTGTGGGCAAAGGTTTCTTTCAAGTCCATTAAGAACACCAATATGGTGGAACAGGATGCCAGGCACCGTGCTGTTTCCCTGCCTCTTGCTCTGTGCTGGTTGAAGGGATGTACAGTAACCAGCCAGTGGCCAGGGTTGAAAGAAGGTAATGAAGGAAAGGGAAGTTCCAGATTCTATGTGGGTGCTCAGAGATGGGGTGGGCCAGACAAGCAAAACTTCACAGAACGCAGGAAATTGACAAGACACTATCCTCCTTGTATATGGCTTCTTTCCAAGCTTGAGGCCAGCAACCCATCTCTATGTCTCAGGCAGACTTCTTACACAGACTCTCTTTTTCTTACCCCACTGGCTCAGGGTCTGTCCTTCACTCTAGGTCCTCCGATTTCGTTTCTCTATGAATCAATCCTTACCTTTCCTCAGGGATCATACCAACTGGATATCTTGGAAACTTAATCTACTTGCCCAGCTCTGCCTTTTGTTTCTAACATGCTGTTACTAAGAGTGGCCTTCAGTAGGAGTGCCACTTAAATGTTCTAAGTATTCTCTAGTTGTTTCTTTCTTTCTTTTAGATTAATTTTTTATTGGATATTTTATTTACATATCAGATGTTATCTCCTCCCCATTCCCCCCCACACTCACCCACCCAGAAACCCCCTATCCCATCCCCCCTCCTCCTGCTTCTGTGAGGATGTGAGTTATCTGTCTACCAGAGATAAGTCCGTGAGAGCAAGGTGCTGTGGATGGAGCAAAGATGGAAATCAAAAATGCTAGACTAAGTTAGTAATCCAACTATTAAGTCATAAAAAGGCAGTGAGGCTGAATCCAAATAATTTTATGACTCACCTCAGTAGTTTTAAAATATTTTGAAATTAACTAATATAAAAAATCATTTTCTGATCATAATACAGAACATGCATACTAAAGTATAAAATAGAGACAAAAATATATCATATATAAAATTGCCATATATTCATTGTACATGATGCTGGGTTACATTTTAATACAAGTCTATAATGTACTTTGAGTGTATTTTGCAACCATGCCTTTTTACCTCTTTTCCCTCAACTCCTACTCTTGCTAGTCCTCTGTCCCCATAGACATTTTTGTTCTAATTTGATGTCAACTATGCATATATCCATATGAAATCTAAGAATCACATCTAAGAGGAAATATGAGATAATTGTTTTTCTGAGATTGACAATTTGTTTAAAATGATGATCTTCAAGTGCAAGCTTTTTTCTTCAATCAAGTCCATTGTTCTTTATGTTTGAGCACATTTCGTTGATCACTTTTGATTAGATCCCCAGGTTGTAATTAATCAGTTAAAGCATCTCTTTGATGGCTAGTGAAGTTGAGCATGTTTAGAAATATTCATTGACCAATTATACTTCATCTTTTGAGCAATGTCTGTCCATTTCATTAGTCCATTGAAAACACTGAATTGTTTGTTTCCTTGATATTAAGGCTTTATTTTAGGTCTTGTAAATGCTGGGTATTAATCTTCTGTAAGATGTTTTGCTTGTAAAGATTTTTTTCTGTCACAGTGTTGGCTGTCTTTTTGTTACATTGTATTTTTCTTTGACAAGGCACAAGTCTGTTTTTGAATTCAAAAATTCTTCTTTACTAATTATTGCAAGTGTTCCTAAGCAACTGGAATTGTCTTCAAGAAGTACATGTCTAGATCTTGAAGTGTTTTCCCAACATCCTCAGTCTCAGAGTCATGTCCTATGTTGTGGTCCTTCATTTGGGGTTGAATTTTGTACGGAGTGGGAGGCAGGGGTTTCTTCCTTCAATATGTGGAGATTCAATTTTTCCAAGCACCCTTCATTGAAGAGGCTCTCTTTTCTCCAATGTGTATTTTATACATCTTTGTAAGAAATCAGATGACTGTATCTGTGTGCATCTTACATATAGACCCCCTATTCAACTCTGATGATCTGCATGCCTCTTTTGTGCCAGTACCATGTTGTTTTTCTTATTATAATTCTGCAGTATATTTGAAATCAAGTATCTGTGTATTTCCAGCACTGCTCTTTCTATTCAAGACAGCTTTGGCTGTTCAGAGTCTTTTGTTTCCCACAAGTTTTAAGATTATATTTCTAATTATATGAAGAAAGCCATTGGAATTTTGATGAGGATTTATTTGAATCTGTAAACTGCTTTTGACTGTACAGTCATTATCACACACTTAGTTATTCCAACGCATGAGCATGGGAGATTATTCAATCTTTTAATGACTTATTCTTTCTCCAGTGATTTGCTCTATTCCTTGCCTCACTTCATTCAAACACTGTTTATCATTGTCCATTAGATTTATTTCCTCACATATTAAAGAGGTGGCTACCTGTTCAGTAAATACTGACTGACTCCTGTGATGAGGCATTTTACTCTGCATTCTTTGTTAAAACCCCGAAGACTTCTTCCTATTTACTAATTTACATAATACTTAAAATGAATATTTACCATAGATCTGAACTGAGTTTTATTAGGTCTTAATGCTAACAAATGATGGTTATAACACAGCTATAACCAGTCTTTAGATTTTAATCCAAAAGCTGTTTTTACTTCACCATGCTGCATATAGCATCTAATGTGCACCTATCTAGCCTTTTCAACTGAGTGATGATATAATAGAAAGGCCAAGAACTCACCCAGTGCCATAGTGGATGTCCAGAAAGTAATCAACAAATAGGTAAGAAACAGAATGACATAATGCAACTGGTTCCAAGCCATGTCCTACTTTTGATATCCTGTTTGGAGACAGATTTCTGTTTAATCTTTGCACAATAATATAGTCCTGTTTCCCGCTCATTCTAGGGTCTGTCAATGGATGAACCAATAGAGAAATTTTCCAAGTACTTAGTAAGTTCTTCAGTGAATGTTGGAGATAACTTATACCCGGATACCATTTGATCCCTGACCATTTCAGAAAGACCAATAAACACTCTAAATGGGAATTTTCTGTTTCTTCTATGATTTCAAAATGCTTACTTTCCATAAGGTTTTAACTTTGTAGACCATGTAGTTTGGTAGTTTCTACCAAACTCTACTATCAGTGGATACAGAACAAGCATAAGATACAATTTCAGCTTCCCAGGATGCTTTTCTAGATAAATCCATCAGTCCCAGAGAAAGACCAAATTACACCTGCCCTAAGTATTCACAGTTGTGTAGGAGGAGGTAGGTAGCTGAGTTGTGGTACTGAAAAGTCACAGAATAATAAATTTATGAGTAATTAAGGAATATGTGAATGAAAATCAAAGCATGAATGGATTCTAAATATCTAGGCATTCAGTGTTTAAAAATATTTGTAAATTTAGAATACAAAGTAAATGGGTTTCATTGTGACATTTTCATACATATATAGTCATTTTATATTTTGCTCTCAAGATTTTTTTGGTGCATTTTTCTGAGTCTATTTTTCTAGATGATCAGTGTAGAGATAGAAGGGAAAGATATAGTCTTGTGGGTACTTGGGAAAGAAAAGACAGATGGAAAAAAATGGCAGGAAGGAAGAAAAGCAATTATGGAAAATGTGTAACTGGATCTGCAGGAAGAACATCAACAGCTCTGTGGGCTGGTGGCTATCTTTGTTAGCTCTAGGCTCAACTTTATCTTAGCAGTTCCTCTGTGGACTTTGCTGAACTCAAAGTACAGATTCCTGCGATGGCAACCCCCTTGTTGATTTGTCCTTCCTGACCCAGTGTCCCAAGGTTTGTGTAACTATCTCAGCAGGTTTCTTGTAATGTATACTTCTGAGCTGAGGTAAAGGGTTTAGCAGTGCTGTGAATTTCTAAACTTAGTTGTCAGGAGGACTGGGGAGATAGAAGTCTTCTGTGAAATGCCGAGTCAAATGGAAAACTTGTGCATAGGAGGAAAACAGGAGTGTCGCAATCATAGAACTCACCTTTCTACCTGTGCTTGATAAGGTTTTGGGAAAATAGCAACATTCTTTGCAGAAATAAGGTCAGCAGTCTCTCTGAACTTTGGTTTCCCAATCCCACTTTGCAAAGTCAAATAAACGGAAGCTCTTGGCTCCAATGGAGTTATCAGCAAACATCTCTCTGTTCTCCTGGAGGCTGTGTTTGATACCAAAATCTTCTGAATTAGCATTTCCTGCTGACAAAACAGCTTAATCTTTCAGTGAAGTATATGGTGGTAGATTTGAAGACTGGCTTTTGGGGCTGTGTCTACTTAGGTGTTTTCGACAAGCAGCAGAATTACGGACCTGGCTTCTGAAGCCATACTTCGTGGATCTGAGTTGGCTCTGCCACCGGGTATGTAAGAGACATCACCTTTCTATGCGTTTCTGCACCTACAGAGAACAGGCATTCAGGGAACTATTAAATACTCTTACATTCTCTAAATGCAAAGCTTATTTTGGTGGCTTGTTCCCTGAGTGTGATGATCTTAGGAATCTCATGTTTCATCTGAAAAGAACTTTGGTAATAAGGATATGCAATTGAGAAACAGAGTGAATTTCTACAAGGCTGTGAAGATACATAGTGGTAGATTCGAGGTAAAAAAAAAATTAGGACTCCTAGTTCTAGGTCACTATAGCCTGTACCACACTTTTCCAAGAGGGAGCACTTCTAAGTCCAAGATGTGCTTAGAGAAGGATGACAACTAGAACCAATGGCCCCTTCCAAAGTCTCCCTTGTCACTACAATCTAATGCTGATTCATTCACTCATTAATTAATTAATTCATCCATCTAGTAACAGCACGGACATAGGCCATGCTCAGAAAGTAAAGTTTCTAAAAGAAATCAATTGCAATTAGACAAAGCGTATTCAGAGATAAAATCATGCAACAATACAATCACACTCTATGCACAGTGAAAAAAGTGCTAGTGAGGTTAGGCGTCAGCTACATGGCTCATTAGTCCCTAGAGATAGTGTAAGGTAGAGGTAAAAATTTATGAATGGATAAAGTGAATGAAGCCAAGTAAGAGAAAAGATGTGTGGAACACATTAGAGAAAAAAAAAATCTTCTGGAAGGATCAGTAAAGTCTTTAGCAAGTACATGGCATTAGATGTGGCCTTTACACATGAATAAGTAAAAAAGTAAATGGACTATTGACTTTCTCCTCCGTGAATAATTGCCTTTTCAATAGAAGCATCTTTGTACATACATGTGCATATACGCATAAAATAGAATGCAGCTTTTCACAAAGTTCCTCTGGAATGCAGAAGAAAAGTTAATTAAAAGTAAATGAATCCCTCCAAATCAAGCAATGCAGGCATGTTGAATCTAGTTTAGCATGTGACAGCTTGGAAGGATGAAGGTTTGGATCAAGAATTACCATCTCACGTGAGTTCATCTCTGGCGGAAACAGGACAAGCCAGTTCTCGCTCTCCAGAATTGTACTGGCCTGATTTAAGAGGTAAGGTGAGAGGTTTGAGACTACCTGCCTCCCATACCTCTTTCATCAGGGGTGGTCCTAGGCTGGCTTGCCATACTGCAGTAGACATCCAGGGGCCATTGCTGTGCTCTGGGAGCTACGGAAATGGGACTAGAAATGTCAAGGGGACTGGTTCTCTAACTGCTTTCCTGTTATGGCGTCTTTCATTCCCACAAGCAATGAAAGAGGGCACTGGGCTTTTCCACACCCATATTAGGTGTCTTTTTGTTTAGACCTGTCCTAATGGATGTGGATGGTATGGATTTTTTTTTGGTTTCAGTTTAATATTCTCCAGTGGTTAAATGACATTGAGCATCTTCTCTGAACTGATGAGCCACTGATACTTTATTCTCAGGTCTTTTCAGATAATTTTAAATGTGTCTTTCATTATCTATCTATCTATCTATCTATCTATCTATCTATCTATCTATCATCTATCTATTTGGTTTTTAGTGATAGAGTTTCTCTGTGTATCCTTGGCTGTACTAGAACTAGATCTGTAGATTAGGCCGGGCTTGAACTCACAGAGATTCACCTGCCTCTGCCTCCTGAGTGCTGGGATTAAAGGCATATACCACCATTGCCCTTCTAGAGATATTTTTAAATTATCATTTAGTGCATATTATTGAGGACATAAGTCCTTCATCTCTGATTTGAAAATCTGTATTTTCTCCCGCTCTTTGGTTCATCCTCTTACCTTTATCTTGTTTGATGGTGTCATTGGAAGCATGGACATCCTCAAGTTTCTATAAGTCCAAGCCATGCCTGCTTTCTCTTCTCATGTGTGATTCTGCCATCATCTCTAAGGAATGACTAGGAAACAGAAGTCAGAATATGAAAAAAATGAAAAAGGACTGTCTAAAGGAGAGAAGGGAACTATCAAGATGGGGGCAGTAAGTACGGAGAGCACTAAGGGAGAGTGGTGCATTAGCACTAAGGATAGGAAAACACATGCATGGAAATGCCACCATGAACCCTATGGCTTTGTGTGCAAACTTAAAAACATTATTAAAATAAAACCAAAGTCTCAACAATCTTGTGTGTTTCTAAGTGCGCTGGTGTTGCACGGCCAGTTTATGATTCACTGTTGCTTCTGATACAATGATTGCACTGTGGCATGCTGTGGGGAAGGGGTCCAATGTGACTTCTAGAAATTTATTTTTAGGGCAGTTTTAGATTTGCAATATATATTCTGAAGGTCATCCAGAGTCCCATCCTCCTCTGCCTCCCAGTCTTTCCCATTCCTGTAAAACATTTGCTACAAGTGAATGAATGGAGTATGTCGAGAAGATCCAGCATGTATTTGGATTATCCTACTGATTGTATGGCGCAATTTCCCTTCTTCTCTTCTTGGATCCTGTCAAGGATACCTTTACATCCAGTTGTTTGTGCCCTTAGGGTTCCCATGGCTGTAAGAGTTTCAAAGATCTCTTTGTAATGATCTTGACAGATTTGAGGAAAAATGGTCCAGTTACATTGAATCAAAATGTATCCCTCTAATGGAATTTAACTGATATTTTTCTAGTGATTCAGTTATAACTACAAGTCTTCAGAGAAGGCCAGATGAGAAGTGACATTTTCATCCTATTATACTATACACTGCATACTATGACAACACACTATCTGACTGGATGCTGACCTTGATCACGTGGCTGAAATCATATTCTCTGTATTCCTCTACTGTAAAGTTATGCTTTGTTTCCCCACTTTCCATGTGTACTTTAAAAGGAAATCCTTTCTCGTCTTCCCAAGGTGTGGAGTGAGTATGGACAAGGTATGTCTCCTTGGGGATGAAGGGTCTTCATAAATACTTGGAAATTTCTGCATGGGATATATTTGTCACTTCTCTCTTATTTACTTATCCTAACATTACTTACATCATTCTATTCATGGATGTTTATCTTATTCTTTGAAGTTTAATCCTGTGATGCTCAGTTCTAATTATTAACTTGACATGACATAGAATCACCTGGAATGAAAGCCAAAAATGAGGAACTATCTACATCAGGTTGTTTTTGTGTATGGCAATGGGGGATTGTCTTAGTTAAGTCAAATAATATAAAAAGACCCTGCCCACTGTAGGTAGCACCATTCTCTACACAGGGGGTCCTAAACTATGAGAATGGAGAAATATACATGCATTTCACAAACAAGCAAGTAAAGTTTTGTGGGTGTGATATAAGCATCTATCAGATATGTCTGCTGGGAATTCCTTGCAGTGATAGATTGTAACCTGGAATTAGGAACTAAAGTCAATCTTTTCTCCCATAAATTGATTTTGTTAGGGCATTTTGTCACAGCAACAGAAATGAAATTAGGAAAATCTTATGCTACTTTCCTTCTCAATTTGTTCTACCTTTGGACATTTGGGATTTTTTTTCCCAGTTATATCCAGTGTGCCCTTTGGCACTACTTTCATTACTGTGTGTGTTTACCTCCTACCCATTTCCAGAATCACAATTTGTTCATTAGGAAGCCTAGGGTTCCCAGTACTGGAGCATGGGATTAGAAACCAAGATCTGGATATATAGTATACATTCATTGATACTTGGGCATTATTGCTTTAGATCCTTCTGATCGAGCAAGACAATATGTATGTGTATGAGATCATATGCACCACACACACACACACACGCACACGCACACGCACACACACTACATTATATATATGCAACATCTATATGTATATTAAGCTAAGTATGTACTGCACCATATCTTATACCTCATACAACATAAATCATTGTGTTGTCTTAGTCTCGCTTTTTATAAATCCCCTCTCCAGTTGGAAAGCCTGACCCTTTTTGTCACCTTCCACTAATATAACTGTTCAGTCTCAGGATGCAGCACTGTCAGAATTATATTCACACTGAAAAACTATCAACCAGAGTAGAGTATTCATGTATAGTTATGTTTTAATTTTAATTTACAGATTTCAATTATTTCTAAGGATGCTTAGATGAACACTATTCATTCAATTTGAGGATTTCCTTTACTTCCTAAATTATTTTTAAATAAGGATTCTTCTTTTGGTGCTGCAAAGTTTAGTCAGTATTGACAAACATATATCATCTTACACAATGGTTTCATTCTCATAAATGTAATTCCTGCACTTATCTTACCTATTCCAAGTATCACATCTTTCTCCAAACCTCTAACAGCCACCACTATTTCAAATGACTATATATAACTATTCCCTTTTTAGAATGTCACATAATCAAAATTATGTATTTCCACATTCATGTGTCATTTTTTTATTTTTAAATTTTATCTTATCATATATTACTTCCTGACTGCAATTTTCCATCCCTCCCCTCTCCTTCAGATCCATCCCCTTCTGCCTCACCTCTGTGAAGTGCAGTCCTCATAGGGACTTCAACCAGACATGGTATAACAAGCTACAATATGACTAGGCACATACCATCACATTAAGGCAATCCAGTAGGAGAAAAAGGGACCCACAAGTAGGCAAAAGAGTCAGAGATAGCCCCTGATCCCACTAACTAATTTTTTTCATTTGTTGATATTTATTTGAGGCCCATATATGCTGTTTTATTTTTATTGCTGAATAATACCCCAATGTGCAGTTATATTACAGTTTACCTTAGCTCTATCACAACTTTCCAGGCATCTTAGTTGTTTTTAGTTACTGTCAATGATGAATATCCGTGCTTTAAATATCTGCATGTGGGTTTTTGACTAGAAATACATTTTGAAGACAATTGATTGTCTATGAGTATGGTTATTACTGTGCAAATTCCACAGAACTCTGAAGCAGCATGATCATTCAACATGGATTTCTTCCTGCAGTGAATAGGATTTGCTGCTTAGCATTGTCATTAGTAATCAGCCTTGCCAGTCTGCTGGACACACTAATAGATGCGATAATACATTTATGTTGTTTGGATTTGCAATGCTTTAATTATGTATGAGGATAAGCATCTTTTCACGTGCTAACTTTGCCTAGTTTTGTCTCCTTTGGTAGAGTATCTGTTTAGACTTTTGGCTCATTTTTAAAGTATGTTATTTTCTTGGTGTTAAATCTTGAGAGTTCTTTGTAAATGTGGATACCTTTTTTAAAAAAAAATTTGATTTGTGTTCCATTCAAGATATTTTATAAATATTTTCTCCTAGCTCATGAGTTGATGTATTATTATCTTGTTTGTTTGTTTGTTTTTCTGTTTTATTCAGACAGGGTTTCTCTGTGTAGCCATGGCTGTCCTAGAACTCACTCTGTAGAGTGGGCTGGCCTTGAACTTAGAGATTCACCTGCCTCTGCCTCCCGAGTTCTGGGATTGAAGGCTTGTGCCACCACCACACTGTGATCTATTGTTATCTTAATGATGTACTTTTAAAGGAGGAAAAACTTTAATTTTAATAAGGATTAACTTATTATCTTGAAAAATTTTGTATTTTATATTTATGTGTGTGCTCTGTTTTGTAGATCTTGTGAACAGTTCATTAGATACACTTCATATTGAAGTGCAATTTTAAGTAGCATGGCTGTCACAGTTAGGTTCTGTCAACTTGACACAAACTTAGGTATACCTGGAGAAAAAGACTCTCAACTGAGGATTAGCCATGTGCACATGACTGTGGGACATTGTCTTGATTATTGATACAGGAAATCCAGCCTTCTGTGGGTGCTGCTGTCCCAGGCAGTGTGGCCTTGTGTTGTATGAGAAAGATACATGATCATGCCATAGTAAGGAAGCCAGTAAGCAGCACTCCTCTATTGTCTCTGCATAAGATCTTGCCTCAGGATTCCTGCTTGAGTTCCTGTGTTGACTCAGTGATGAACTGTAATTTGGAAGTGTTAGCCAGATAAACCCTTTCTTTCTCCAAGTTGTCTTGGGTCATGGTGTTCATCATAGCAAGGGAAATAAGCTAGGACAAAAATTGGTACCAGAGTGGGTGTTGCTGCAATGGACCTGATAATGTCTTGTTAGAGAATTGTGGAAATGTTTAGAACTTTTGAGATGGAAATAATAGTGTCTTAATTAGAGTTGATTGCTGTGAAGAGACACCGTGATCAAGGCAAGGCAACTTTTATAAAGGACAACATTTAATTGAGGCTTGAAACATAGTAACTAATAACTTGAGGTCTTTGATAGGAAATAGATTTTAATAGCATAGAATGTAGATATCTGCCCAGATATAGCGCTGATTAAGGCTTATTTTAAATATAAGGCTTGTGTGTCTGTTTTGTCTTGGAACTAAATGATCAAAGTCAGGGTAGAAACCTGGATTAAGATTAAAAATTTCCACAACATTTTGGTGCCTCAATATCTAGCAAAAACTCTAAAAAAAATTAATTTCAGACTCTCAAATGGAAAACACACATTGTTCCTTTAAGATTAAGAGGTGAAGAGAATTGGTTTCTTAGTCACTATTTGACCTGATGCTGCTTGTATTCTAATGCTAATACTGGTTTCTCAAGACCTGGTTGCCCCAAGATGAGAAAGTCTACCTGAAGACCCAAGTGACAGACCCAAGTGACTATGTGACCTTTCTCACAAGTTATTTCTGATTGGTAAGTAAAGCTGCTGACAGTCAATACCTGGGCAGAAGAGAGATAGGTGGGTTTTAGAGTCTCCTGGCCTGGGAGGCTGGAGAACCACAAAGGAAAGAAGAAGGTGAGGAGAAAGAGAAAGTTGCCATGGGTTAGGAGTCAAGAAAACATGGCCCTGAGGGCTGGCCAGTTGGAGTCAAGAGCAGGCCAGATGCAGCATAGTAAGTAATAACTTGAGGTTATCAATAGTAAATAGATTTTAATAGCATAAAAGGTAGATATCTGGTCAGCTCTAGTGCTGATTAAGGCTTATTGTAAATATAAAGATTGTGTGTGACTCTTATCTGGGAGCTAAATGATCAAAGGCAGGGTAGAAACCCTGGACTGGGATTAAAAATTTCTACAACAGGGGCTGGCTAACAGTTTCAGGGATTCAATCCATTATCATCATGGCAGGAAACATGACAGTGTCTTGGCAAACATGATGTTGGAGAAGGAGCTGAGAGTTCTACCTCTTGACCCAAAGACATGCAGGAGACTCTCTTCCACAGGCATCCAGGAGGGTCTCTTCCACACTGGGCAGAGCTTCAGCACAGGATCTCAAAGTCCGTTCCCATAGTGACATACTTGCTCCAACAAGGCCGTACCCACTACAACAAGACCACACCTCCTAATAGTGCCACTTCCCATGGGCCAACCATATTCAAACCACCACAAATACTGAGTGCACAGAGCATTATGGGTTGCTCAATGGGAGCTCAGAAGATAATGCTGAGACAAATGCATATGATGGAGGCCTGGCTTGTGACATTTCAGAGGGAAGTGAAGACTCTGTCAGGGCTATGTGATATTTTGGATTAAGGATCTATTGAAGTCAAACCTTTGCTGGGAAAAAGGATGCTGGCCAGTGGAGATTGAATAATCATCTGTGATTAATTAGAGATCAGTATCATCAAGGCAAAATCTTCTGTGAAATATTTCCTAAGAGTTAGTACACAGAAGCACATGGTGACAGGGGTTGGAATTTCTACAGTGAGGCCAATAGGGCTTGGGTGAAGGTTCAGCCTCAGTTGTACTTAAGATCTTAGAGATGCCAGGACTGTGGTATGACTACCAAGGAGAGTAGCAGATATAAAGTGAAGCTGTCCTGTGCTTATGAGACAAGCAGTGTAGGCTGTAGATGACAGAGCTGAGGGGGTGCGGCTACCCAAGCTCTTTAGAATCCAGAAGATAATGAGTTAGTTCTAGATATTGGAAACTGAGCTATTATACTGTTGGAGTGTGGTCTTGCTATGGTCTTATTTGTAACTATGCCCTGGTGATTCACTTTTGAAACAAGAAAGTATATAAGTTGCTTTTTTAATTTATTAAAACCCATAGTTAAGAGACTTTGGAGTCCAAAAATTATTTTATGTATGTGAGTATCTTGCCTGCATATATGTCTTGTACCATGTGCATGTCTGGTGCCCATGGAAACCAAAATAGTGTGATGGATGCCATGATACTGGAGTTACAGAGAGTTATATGGGTATCAGGAGTCAAACCCAGGTCCTCTGGAAAAGCAGCCAATGCCCTAAATCACTCAGCCATCTCTCCAACCCTAGAATTTAAAATTTAAAGAGAACCTGGACTTCTAAATTATTAGAATTTTTAAAAGACTGTGATAGAGAACTCTGGGAGGGGGCAACAAGAGAGGAGGGCAACATTTGGGATGTAAATAAATAGGATTATTAATTAAAAAAGAAAAAATTCATGGCATTCAACAATCCAAAAAAAAAAAAAGACTGTGAGACTGTGGTTTTAATTGCAATATTAACCTTAATTGCAATATTAATTAATATTAACTAATTAATATTACTTGCAATATTAAGCTCTTGGTGGACAAGAAATGAAAAATATATGGCTTAAAGATATGTGTTTGTGTGTCAAAGTTGATAAAGGGTTAGTTGTCATAGATTTGATCAATTTGACAGAAAACTAGAAATATCTGAGATGAAGAAACTGCAACTAAAGAATCCCTTTAATGACTTAAGACCAACATTTCTTTAAGTGCTTCTCGGGCATTAGAGATTATTCTGTGGAGAATACTCTATTTAGCTCTGTACCTCATTTTTCAATTGGATTATTTGGTTTGTTGGTGTCTGCCTTCTTGAGTTTGTTATGTATTTTGCATATTAGCCCTCAGTCTGATATAGCCCATGACCTCTTGGTCTCACTGTAGGAACTCCAACCCTCCCTGTCATGTAATGCCTTACATCATGTGCTTCCATGTGCTATTTCTTAGGAAATACTTCTCAGATTTGTAAAACTACTCTGGAAATCAATTTGGCAGTTTCTCAGAAAATTAGGAATATTTCTACCTAAAGAACAGCTGCACTACTCTTGGGCATATATTCAAAAGATGCTGCACCATCCCACGAAGACACTTGCTCTACTATGTTCATAGCAGCTTTATTTGTAATGGAAACTGGAAACAACCCAGATATTCCTAAATGCAGAATGGATGAAGAAAATATGGTACATCTACTCAATGGAATACTATGCAGATACTAAAAACAAAAACATCATGAAATTTGCAGGCAAATGGATGGAACTAGAAAATATTATCCTGAGTGAAGTAACCCAGGCCCCAAAGGACAAGCATAGTATGTACTCACTTATAAGTGAATATTATCCATGAAGTACAGGATACCCATTCTATAATCCACAGACCCAAAGAGGGCTCAAGGGAGGATGATTGGATCTCACTCAGAAGGGGAAATAAGATAGTCATTGGAGGTGGATGGAGGGAGGGAACTGGATGGGAGAAGGATGGGGAGAGGATCAGGTGTAGGGAGAGCTGGGCAGAGAGGGCTGGGAGAGTGAATGGAATTTGGTTTAAGGAGTGTTGGTGGTGGTAGTGGTGGTAGTATCTCTCGGACATGCCAGAGACCTGGAATGGGCTGGCTCCAGGTAGTCTATGAGGATAACTCTAGCTGGGGATATGGAGACTGAAGTGGCCACCTCCTATAGACAGGTAGGACTTCCAGTAGAGGGAGGGACATCAACCTATCCACAAAACCTTTGACCCAAAATTTGTCCTACCTACAAGAAGTAGAGGGACAAACATGTAACAGAGGCTGAAGGAATGGCCAACCAATGACTAGCCCAACTTGAGACCCATCCAATAGACAAGAACCAATCCATAACACTATTGATTATACTCTGTTTTGCTTGCAGATAGGAGCCATCTATAAATTTCCTCTGAGAGGCTCCACCCAGAAATTGACCAAAAGAGATGCAGAGACACACAGCCAAACATTAGATGGAGCTTGGGAGTCTTGTGGGGGAAGGACTGAGAGACCTGAAGAGGACAGGGGCTTTATAGGAAGATCAACAGAGTCAACTAATCTGGACCTTTGGGGGCTCTCAGAGACTGAACACTAACCAAAAAGCATGAAAGAGCTGGACTAAACCCTGTCCCAAACCTCCACACATATGCAGCAGATGTACAGCTTGATCTTCCTATGGATCCTCCAACAACTGGAGCAGAGGTTTACCCTGATTCTGTTGCCTCCCTGGGGATTCTCTTCTCCTAACTAGGCTGGCTTGTCTGGCCTCAGTGGAAGAGGTTGTATCTAGTCCTAAAGTGACTTAAAGTGCCAGGGTGGGTTGGTACTCAAAGGGCACCTCCCCCTTCTGAGAGACATAGGGGAGGGGAAAATCAAGGCTGGAGATATCTGTGGGCAGCAGGGAGAAGAGAGGCTGCTATCAGGATGTAAAGTGAATGAATGAATGAATGAATCAATCAATCAATCAATAAATAAATAAATACAAAAGAATCTCCTCTATAAGACTGATTCAAGGACCTGTCTTTAGGACATTTTTTTGAATGACAGTTTATGTTTAAGGGTTCACCTAACTGTGGGCAGTGACATCTCTGGGCAAATGGTCCTAGGGTTTGTAAGAAAGGTAGCCGAGCAAGCCAAGGGAAAGGAGCCAGTAAACAGTATTCCTCCATCATCTCTACTTCAGTTCCTGTCTCCAGGTTTCTGCTTGAGTTCTTTCCCTGACTTCCCACAATGACTGGCTATGATGTAGAAGCGTAGTCTAAATAACCCCTTTCCTCCTGGGGTGCTTTGGGTCACATGTTTATCATAGAAGTAGGAAGCAAACAAAGGCAATTCTTTAAAATTCAAACTCCACGTTTTCATTGTAGGTTTATAGAAAGTTCAATTTTGTATGCACCTATCATCGGTTATTAGTCTAAACAGATTTTGTGGTAGATGAATTGGGAAGACTGGAGGAAGAGTGATGATTGAGCTGAGACCTATCTAGGGGAGTAGATCTTACATATAGAACATGCTCAAGACATTTTGAAATGGAAACTTTACCTTGCCACCTACAGTCGTGAGAGTTTTCTTGGGTCTTAATATGAAAATATATAAAGTTTCTGGAGGTATAGATGATGAATATGCACAGTTCCCACATGTATCTGAGGTCCCAGGGGTTTTCCACTTTCAAGCTACACCACACTCAACTTCAGCAATGTGCGAAACATTCTCATCAAATGTTCCTATTAATTTATGACTCTGCTGATATCTACTCCAAGTAACTCAAGCTCAGCGGCTGTTTGGATTTAGGTTTGAAACTGACTGTTTACCTTACAACCTCAGCTCCAGGAAGTGTCCTTAAATAATCATTGATTTCAACATTGTTGAGTTTTTTGTATCATTGTAAGATTATGAATGTTGATTTGCAATATATTTTGTAAATTGAGCTAGACTCTTCATTTCAACTGTTTTGTCTGTATTTGGGTTTGCAGTTGTACCAGCACCATTTGATAATTTATTTCCCTTTTTTGGCACTCTTACAAAAACACTGATCCATAAATGTGAGGGATTATACCAGGTTCTCAATCCTAGTCTATTGATCTGTGCCTCCTCTATGTCTGCAGCATACTGTCTTGATTACAGTGGAATGCGGTCAGTTTTGAAGTAAAACGACTCCTCCACATCTGTCACTGCTTTCTAAGATAGGCTATTTTGATTCCTTAAGATAGCATGTCAATATTGGCAAAGAAACCAGAAGAGATTTTAAAGTTGTTTTGATTAAATCTGTCACTGAAGCAAAAAAAAAAATCTGTCTATTTCCACAGTATTAGCACCCGGACTCCTCCTTCATTCATTTCTTTCCATGTGTTTCACTTCTTTTGTTAAATGTATTTCTAAATATTTTGCTTGTGAATGAATGGTCTTATTAGTTTCATTTTTGACTCTTTATTACACTCTATAGGAATAACATTCACCTTTACTGATATTACATACAGCAATCTTGTAGACCTTTTAATTCATTTTGCTTATTGATTAAAATGTTTTTTATAATTTTATGATGCTTCATTTAAGGTGATCAATTAAAGCTTCTCTATGATGACTCAGACATTGGATTTAAGATGTGCACAAGATTGATCCATTATTATAAAAAAAAAGCATGCTCTGCCAGTGTTATTAAGATTGTAAGTGTATAGGAGTCCTATAATCAAGAAAGTGTGTGTGTGTGTGTGTGTGTGTGTGTGTGTTGTTATGGGCATGATATGTGGGTAATTACAGGTAGGAGAGAAGGCCAGAGCTGGCACTCTAGTGAGAAACCTTACAGTTTGTCTTCACCAGGGATCAGGAGGGTACATAGGAAAGAGCACATGCGAGCTAGAATAGTTTAAAGCTGCCGACAGAAAGCCAACATCTGCTTCAGGGAGTCCTTGATGACTCTGATTTCTCTGAGATGTACGGAGTGAATGACTGAGGGAACAGGTTTGCAGAGAGCGGTAACGTTTGAAATAATTATTTGGAAAACTATTTGGAACCTGGGAATTAAAGTAAGTCTTTAACACGGAAACTCTCTAATAAAAATTCTCTGCAGTCATCTTTATACAAAGGATTCTATTTAGAAAGAATAGAGAATTCTCTGGAGTCTCCTTACAGCGAATTTCCATTATTACCGAGGCAACTGCAATCGGCCCTGAATGAAGGCAGCTGTATGAAAGGTCCTTGGTGTGTTCCTACCTTCTGGTGAGTTGGCCAAGAAAGCCTAAGGAAAGTTTTAATTAAGCTTTGTGTGAGCTATTCTATATCCAAAGCCGATTCCACGTCGTTCCCCAGTAGCCCCAGTCACTTTCTGAACTCTTTATCATCTCTGAAATGTACCAGGGAGAAAATGACTTCCCTCCAGATCCCTGATGGGAACAGTAAACCTGACTCTGTGCTTGATAGACTGATCCTACCCCTGCCCCAGAGCCTAAAGAGAAACTCCTGGAATGTGTTCTTTGACTAAAACCTGAAATTCCAGCTTACATGTGAGATTCTGGAACAGATACCTTACCATCTGTTTGGTGGAAGCTAACACTGGGCAGGTAGGTTTGTGATTTTTGAATACAGAGGGGTTATGGACTGAGTATCATGATCTTTGACTCTCATTTGTACATTGAAACTCTAAGGCTTATGGAAGTGGTGCTTGTAGACAGGCCGTTGGGAGGTGGATTAGGATTAGATAAAATTCTGAAGGTGAGGATTGCACTCTCCCCACAAACACACAGAGGTAGCATGAGCTCAGACTAAGACCGAAGCTGCCTACAAGCCAACAAGTGAGACTGCAGAGTGAACACATCCATGCTGACACCTTGGTTTTAGACTTCTATTCTCTATATCCGAGAAACTAGCCTTCTTATTTTAAAGCAATCTAGTTTACAGTATTCTGAAATGGCATCTTGAGCTGAAACAGAATGTAATATTTGCTAAGTACTAGCTATGTGTCAGGCATCCTTCCTTGCTTAGTTATTGGGGCAGCGCTAGGAGACATCAAATGTTCCCAGGTCTCTAATGAGGACATAAATTCAGCATCACAGAGCTAGTAAGTGATTGATAGATACCACCACATCACCTTCCTCTCCAGAAAATCTGCAAGAACTTACTTTCTTACCAGGATTCCACATCCACCATCCTTGATTACTGACCCCTCAGACCATTGCAAAGTCCCTCTAAGCCTGTCCTATTTTAAGGTCTTAGCCTTAATTTCTTCTTCCAAATAATGATTAAAAGTAATTGTAGCTTCTGAAGTTGCCACACATGTTGTTTCTTAGAAGTTTATTTTTATTGCTTTTAATCGTGTGTGTGTGTGTCTGTGTGAATACACATAAGTGAGTGCAGCTGCCTGTAGAAGATCTCCTGGAGGTGGAATTGGAGGCAGTTGTGAGCCCGCTGACATGGGCCCTCTCCTCACACATACATACACACAGAGACACAGAGACACAAACACAGGCACAGACACATACACACACACAAACACATGCACACACACACTGTATGTGTCCTCTGGGTACAGAGAGATAACAGAGGACTCTAGTTGCTTGCAATTTTCACTATTTTGAATAAATTTGCTTTTCTAAGAAGTGAATTGAAAGTTTGTAATGGAGTTTCACCGTAACAAGACTTCAGAGGATTCTAAATTCTTTTTAAATGGAATCCATTGTATCAAGATGACTTTGGAGGG